AGGCATTGATCTGCTAGAATTAAAGACAGTGGCATGCCAAGGAAGATCAACCAGGCAAGGAATTGGAGAGTTCATGATTTAAGCAGACCAAATTTTCCAGCTGCTAATAACATATGGAGAGGTATTTTGCAAGTCTACCCCAGCAAAGGGACAGTAAATAAAACTTGAGTTGCCAGTCATGCGATCTTGTCACTTAGTCTTTTAATGAATGATTCAGTCCACCTGTGTGAATTGGTTTGCTCTTGTTGGGTACCTGGCCCTGAATTTACTGCCAAATTTAATATTTTAAAAAATTATATGTAAAATGGACACAGTGATGATTATAAGTGTTTTAAGAAAGTTTTGCTTCTCCTAGAGAACCCAACCTAACACACTTGGTAATCTAAAGTAAGTCTTCCTTTCTTTTAAAATAAGTTCTGGCTTTTTAAAAAAACAAAACAAAACCCAGCATGATTTTTTTAAAAGAACGGGAGACTTGCTTTAGATTACCAAGTGTGTTAGGTTGGGCTCTCTAAGAGAAGCAAAACCAGTAATGCTTGTATATGTTGTAAACAGAAAAGAAATGTATATCGTTGTAGAAATAGGTAAGCCCCATCCGGTTCAGGTCAGGTTTCATCTTACTCATGGAAACAGACAACCAGGAGGCAGGATGACAAATAAGAGACAGTTGAGGGTACAGGCTGCTGGATGCAGAGGTCTGAAACCAGCCAAATGAATCCACTGTTGGTAGTCTGCTGATGGCTCTGGGATCAACAGGCTACACAATAGATTGTGGAACCAGACACAAGATGCGCTTTGGCAGAAGGTAAATGGCCAGGGGCTAGACTCTGCTCAGTCTCTCCCTTTTATACAAAAAGACTTATAACATTAAGGGGGTGTCACCAGGCTGCAATGTAATTGATAATTTGAACTCTACGTCTATTCTTATCTAAGAATGTGTAGTTGACACAATCCCTAACCTTCACACCAAGTATTACAAAAAGACAAATTTAAAGTGTTATGAGATTCTCAGGGAATCCAACACTAACCGAACTTGTATACCATTAGTCTTCTGTCATACTTCTCTCTCTGTATATGCAATTTCATTTTCTCCTGATTTAGTTTTTTTAGCAAGGCTATTGGAAGCTCTAAGGACACAAATTTACTACTCTGTGATGTCATATCATTTCTAAAATACCAGGCTGGTGCTAGCTTTCTAATTTCACACATACAGTTTTAAAATACTTAATACCACATCAAGATAGATTATTTTGATCCTTATGAGCTATGTTACCAGCTCAGTTGTCACAAAGGGATGATATTTTATTAGAATAACATATGTGTGTTGGGGGGTGGCAAGGTGAGGGAAGGCACATAGGAATGAGCAACCAAGTGCAGTATCTTTAATTGGAACAAAATATTTAAAAATAAGTGTGAAATGGAGAATTAATCAAATGATATGAAGATCATTGCAGATACATCTAGAAAAAAATCCAGTGATGTAGGGAAACATTGCCTTGTTCCCCCTGGGAGGGTTATCTGGGTGCTGTGTTAGTCTGGGTAGACTAGAGAAACAAATTCATAGACACTCATATGTGTATAAGAGCTTTATATACAAGAGAAATTGAATATTGAGAAAACATCTCAGCCCAGTCCAGATCAAGTCCATAAGTCTGATATTAGCCCATACATCTGATACCAATCTACATATTCCTCTTCAGATTCACCCAACACATGCAATGATGCCAAATGCAGGAAGATCACAGGCCAGTGGGTGGAAAGTCTAGTGGATCCAGTCGCAATGCAAGCATCTCAGCGCTGGCAGGGGTCTCTACATGGCTCCTTCAGTTCCAGGGCTCTAGTGTAGCTCCATGTGTCTTATCAACAGGAATGTCTCACAGGGAGTGAGCGTGTTTCTCACTTCGAGTGAGCTATTTATTTCCTTAGTGCTTCCAAATGAGATCATCAAGCTGCGACCTGATTGACAGGTTAAACTCCACCCCTTCACTCTTCAGTCTCAAATTGACAACAGATTGTGTAACTACCACACGTTCAAAGATTTTGATTAAACCTTGAATGTGTTTTGTTTTGAATGTGCTAAGAGCTTGGTGCAAACACTGAGTGAAAAGAAGATTCCTTGTTGCAAACAGCATGATGCTACCTTAGGTCAGAATGTGTTTAAGTGTGAGAATGTTTTGGTAGTTTGAGAACATCTTGAGCCTGAAGTTGATGTCTGTCTATCTATCTATCTATCTATCTATCTATCTATCTATCTATCTATCTATCTATCTATCTATCTATCTATCTATCTCTATATAGTATACAAATGTACACTATTTGAAACTTTGTAAACTTTCTCCTTTGACATGTTAATAAAACCAGCAAAGGAGAAGCTCAGAAATTCTTCTCTCCCTTGAGTAACCCCCTCTTTCCCTCATGACTCAATCTTGTGTCTTGAGTAGTTATTCTGTGAGTCTCAGGTAGCTCCCAGATGGCTGGAGTGTTACACTCTGATACCATATAAAATGAGACCTTCACCTTACACTCAATTTAAGATGATAAAGGTTTTGCCATACTCCAGTAAATGGAAGATCCAGATAACAACAGTGTCAATCTGGGTAGTGAATGCCCTATCAGCAGATTGATTCCATCCAGTCTTATAAGCTCTTACCATATGAGACCTCAGACAATATGCCCAACAAATATATTTTTACACAGTTCTCATCCCCATAGATGAGTGTTTTCAAAATGTCAGTCTGTAGTTTTCCAATTGGGAGATCAAACAGCTAGGTCACTAGCAAGAATCCAAGAATAAACAACATGTTCATTAAGGAAGTGTTAGTCATAGCCAAGAATACCCTTATTCTGCTTGAGAATAGTAACCACATGCACGTTGAGGTCTGCATTCTGACACTAAGGCTGAAGTCACAGCAGCCCAGTGTTTCAACTCAGCTAGTGATTTTATTTCAGAATACTCTGGTAGCACAGCAGGTTATACCCTGTGCTGCTTTTATCAAGGTCAGCAGTTTTGAAGCATCAGGTGCTCCTCAGGAGAAAGATGAGATTTTCTACTTCCATAACACTTTCCAGTCTTGGAAACCCACGAGGATAGTTCTACCCTGAACTACAGGGTCACCACGCAAGTCAGAATCAACTTAATAGAAGCTGAGTTTGTTTTAGGTAATGAAGTGGGATTCCTTCAGAGGAATAAGTGCGACTTTTTCATGCATAGCTGAAACATGATTAGGCTAAGATAGTGGTGTTCTCTAACCAGTTCATAAGCAAGTCTGGTGGCATTCCTTCCTACATTGTTAATCCTTACATCAAAGTGACAAATCTCAGAATTTGAAAATGAGACCACAAGCTACGGTGAGTCATATGTAATGTCTAGAAGTGCTCAAGAGTAAGTTAGATACTTTCCCCCAAAGGGTATAACTGGCAACTCTATCAGGGAATCAAATCAAACAGTCACCTTCTTGTGAGGACTCCCTATTTACCATAGGTGCTAATCAGCAAAATCACCAGTCACAGAGACTTGAAGCTAAATGCTCACCAGGCCTGTGTTATCTCAAAAGTGTTTCTTTACATGCCACTCTTACTGATTGAAAGAATTCTTTCTATAACTTATGGGAATAAGTATAACATGCAACATAATAATTCCTACTATGCTTTCGGGATTGATCCATGATATCACAGAATTGTCTAAATCTCATTAGCTGACTTCAGATGCCCCATGTCCACAGGAACAAGTGTGATGTGTGATTTGGGCACACGAATACAAACAAGCTATCAAAAGTTAAGCCTAACTCCTTCTCTCCCCCACAAAGTTCCCCAGAATAATTGGTGGCCCCCCACAGCCTTTAGTCCTCTTTGGAGACAGAGAACATTTTTCTTTTTAAGGCAGTTACATTTGGGGTATATAGAGCCATCAGGAGTTATAGAGTGAGAGTAGTTTTGTGCCCTTAATTAAGGCAAAATTAACTTTGGTTTATAACTGCATGGAACCTCTTGAACTTATTTTAGGTCTATCCAAAACTTGTATCAGGTGCTTGTAAACTGCTGGAACCATCTATTTCACTATATTGAAAGGATATCTCTTATATTAATTCTCTGATCTTTGAAGAACTCCATTTACTCAGCAATCCCAATAAAATAGTGACTTGTCACTCTGTGATTGACTCAAGAATGGCTCACAAAACTGTTCTATATCTTCCTAGTAGAGGCATGGCTATATTATATACAGTAACAAATAGACTAATATCAGAGTTCAACAAAAGTTTATTTTTTGTCCCACCTCCTCAAAAAAATTGTCCACCTAGTAAAGACCTGGAAGAGAATTCTGAACCACACATATTCAGAGATCCTGGCTTCTTTCATATTGTGTCAACACATGCAATAAGCGGTCCACAAGGATGCCCTGGAAGTCAAGGCCATTTAATTCTAACAGAGCCTTTGCAAATTTATGAGAGCAATCTTTATTTACCAAGACTGTAAACATTAAACTACATCCTTGGCACCCATATTACACTAACCAGATACAAATTTAAAGTAGTTATATGTGTGGAGGATAATAAACTATTTTCTGGTAAATAAGTTATCAGTCTATTTGATGCATGTGACTTAAAATTAGCATACAACTTTAGAATACGTTCCATATTACGTTAAAAGAGATGGATGTGTGAATTCTGATATACTGTAAGTATAATTTCCCTTTTAAAAGGATGTTTTCTACATTCATTATATCCACAGGGCTACTCTACTGTGTAAATTTTATTGTTTACTGTGGACATTCACTACTAGGAGAGATTTCCTCTATTCAGTACATTCTCCTGTATGTAAATTCTCTGATGTCAAATGAGGTGGTCTTTTTTCCAAAATGATTTTCATGTTATTACATCAATAGAGTTTTACCCCTCTTGAATTCCCTAGTATATATCTAGAATTCACTTCTATTCTATCCCACAAGTAATTACATCATGAGACGCCTGGCCATTGTGAGTTCTCTGGTGTATCCTGAGATTTGACATCTGACTAAAAGTTTTCCCACATCTATTACATTGAAAGGGTTTCTCCCCTGTATGAATTCTCTGGTGTACTCTCAATGTTGATGTCCTAGCAAATTTTTTCCCACATTCATTACATTTGAATGGTTTCTCCCCTGTGTGAATTCTCTGGTGTACTTTCAGTGTTGATCTCCTAGCAAAAGTTTTCCCACATTCATTGCATTTAAATGGTTTCTCTCCTGTGTGAGTTTTCTGATGTTGAATGAGATGGTCTTTTCGCCAAAAGGATTTTTCACATTCGTTACATTGGTAAGATTTCTCCTCACTATGAGTTGACTGATGTATTCTGAGGTTTGACTTCTGGCCAAAAGTTTTCCCACATTCATTACATTGAAAGGATTTCTCCCCTGTGTGAATTCTATGATGATCTCTAAGAGTTGACTTCTGAACAAAAGTCTTTCCACATACACTGCATTCATACGGCTTCTCTCCTGTATGAATTCTCTGATGTCCTCGGAGGGTTGATTTCTGCACAAAAGTTTTCCCACATTCATTACATTTATATGGTTTCTCTGCTGTGTGAATTCTTTGGTGTGTACTGAGGTGTGACTTCTGGGAGAAAGCTTTCCCACATTCATTACATTTAAATGGTTTCTCTCCTGTGTGGGTTCTCTGATGTTGAATAAGATGCCCCTTTTGACTGAAGGATTTCCCACATTCATAACATGTATAGGGCCTTACCTTTGGGTGAGTTCTCTGGCATACTCTGTGGGCTGCTGGTGAGCAGGATTTCCCACTTTTACTATATGCAAAGGGTTTATCACCAGTTTTTGTTCTGTCATTACATACAAAGAAATTCTCTCTGGCAATAGTTCTCTGAAGTTGAGTAAAATATGACTTCCTGCTGTAATGATTCCCACTTTCATTACCGTCATAGTATTTCACAGCCAAATGAACTTTATGAAATTGACTAATATTAGAGCATTTCTCCCTTGTGCCATTTCTGTTGTGATCAAACGCACAATTAATCTTATATTCATCATCATTATAGGATGTTTCTCTCCCAGGAGAACTCATATGTGTAATATAATCAGCATTATCATAGAAAACATTCCTAAATTTATTATATTCAAAAGCTTGCTTCAGACCCTGAAACCTTTGAAGTTCAGCAATACCTTTCTTATAAGGTAGAGTTTTTATGGCTTTGTTATAAACATACCCTTTTTCTCTGGTATGAATTCTCTCAAATGTAATATTGAAAGGTAAATTCTCACATACAACTTTCTTTGTTAAATATCCTCTATTATCAACAACAGATTCAGAAATGTTTTGCAAATTCATTTCCCATGATCCAAGTTGACAGGGAATTTTTGTTGAAGAAACAGGAATCTCCATATGAAGATTAAATGGTTTTTCAAAAACTTTTTCTTCCTCTTTAGTCAATGTTTTGTTATTAATAAATATTACTTGTTCCAAGAGTTTATCTTTCACTTTCATATTCTTGTAATCTTCTAAAATAAGAAAGAAAAAAAAAGAAAAGAAAAAAGAATTACAAATCATTTATTTCTGATGAGTGGGATTTATAGACATAGCTGATTGTATATGGTTCCTTAGTAGTAAATAATTCACCTACAAAGGGGCTTCAAAAGTCCTACAAAGGGGCTTCAAACGTTTGTGAGAGAATGTAATTTATCTTTTCTTTACATACGTTTTTTGAAACTCCATCAAAATGAGGGTTTTCAAGGCTGTGACCTTTTGGAAGCAGACTTCCAGGTCTATTTTCAAAAGGGACTCTGGATGGGCTCAAATTGCAAAACAAGTATTAACTGTTTGCACCACCCAGGGACTTCTCCATGGGGGGGGTGGAGAATATATATATGTAACTTCATCTGATAGCCTTCTTTTACAAAATTAGACTTTTTTTCACATATCATTCAATTTAATTGTTCAATCATATTAAGAAAAGTTGCACAATCATCACCATAATCAAATTCAGAACATTTTTCTTCTCATACTCATTATTAGCTCCTGGTTTCCCCCAAGCCTCCTCTGCCATACCCTAGAATGATTAATACAGTTACTGTCTTACTGATCCTGAACTTCATATATAGGAAATTATACAAAATACAAACAGGAAGCAAGAAAACAAACAAAAAAACCAAAATCAATTATAATGACAAAACAAAGAAAAATCTCAGTAGAAAAGAGAGCAGAACATACTAAAACTGAAGAAATCTTAAAATGGGTCTAAGGGAGACTCAACAATAAGGCATGACATTTTAACTAGATCTGTCATAATCAACTTTGCAATGCTCTCTGATAGCAAGGCTAGTCACATCCCTATACTACATAGTCCTATGTAGTCAGAGAAGATTCACCAGAAGCTTAATCCATGTGGGGACATGGCAAATGGATTTTAGGCCTACACTGTCATCCACAGTCTTCTGTAAACCAGATAGTCATAATTTAAGCTCTGATACCAATCCCTCCTTCGCTGTTGGGTTTTATTATTTATAATCCTTGGATTATACAGGCTGGTGTGTTTTTTCCATGTGGACTTAACTGACATCTCACTTGGATAGTGGCTTGTTTTATAACAAGCCTTTAAAGCCCCCACAACACTATTCTTTCTGATAACCTGACACCATCTGGTTTCTTCATTATACTTTTTTAGTGATTGATTGCTGTCTAGTTGATCCCAGTTTTGGGTGCCCCATATTTGTAGAACTGTGTGTGCATCACAGAGTTTTCAGGCTATGACCTTTTGAAATCAGATTTCCAGGTCCTTTTTCCAAAGGGCCTCTGAGTGGGTTCAAACTGCAAGCCATTTGGCTAGTACTCAAGTATTAACTGTTTGCACTCTCCGGGGACTCTTACAACAGGAGTAGACGGATACTTTTTAAAAAATTAAATAATGTTACAGGTGGTGATAAGTCCTTTGTAAACTAGTGAAGCAGGAAGAAGTGACATGGAATGGCTGGCATGTGAACTACAATTTTAAATGGAGCATTGTAGAAAATCTTATTGCTGGGATGAGAGAAAAAGGACCTTGAGAAAAGCAAGAAAGCCTTCCTCAAGAGACAGTACCCTGAATTTTGACTTCTAGTCTCCTAACCTGAAAAAAAAATATTGTTTATGCTTGTTAAAGCCACCTATTTGTAATATTTCTGTTATAACAGCAATATATAATTAAGACAATATATATCAGCATAAACGTTTTCTATGAAACTCAACAATATAAAATGAACAGTCCTGGAATCAGAAACTAAGACAAGAAATAGAGTGCAAATGGTTCTGCAAAAACCCCTATTCCAGACTATAACCTAGATAACTGGGACCTCTTAAAAATTAAGTGCGTATCAAAAGCCTTTACCCAAAGAATGAAAAGATAACTCACAGACTGGGAAAGTATAATGGGCAACACATATGAAAAGGGACTAAATCTTAACCTCAATATCTCAACAACAAAAAGATAAACAACCCAATTTAAAATTGGGCAATGGCATTTAAGAAATGCAAATCAAAATAACAACCCCACCTCATCATGAATAACAAACTTCAAAAGAAGCAATCAAATAAATGCTGGCGAGGGTCCGAGAGGCTAGAACCCTGATAAACAGCTGGCGGGGCTCTAAAATGGTGCAATTTGGAGAGGAAGTCATATAGCACTTTCTCAAAACATTGGTAACAGAAATACCAAATGACCCAGCAATCCCTGTATTTGGTATATAACCTAGAGAAATAAGAGCCATGACACAGATAATTGCACACTCATGTTCATTGCAAGACTGTTTATGATCGCAAAAAGGTGGAAACAACATAAATGACAATCAGTGGAAGAATGAATAAACAAACTATGGTACATAAACACACAATGAAATGTTATGTAACACTAGAAAGTAACAATGCATCTGTAAAATACCTCAAAACATGAATGGGTTTGGAGAACATTATCTAAGTGTAGGAAGTCAACTACCAAAAGGCAAATATTTATATGGTACTACCAAAAGGCATGTATTATAAAAAGTCATGAAAAGGTTTTCACAATAAAATAAACAATGATGGTAACCAGGGACTAAAGCAGGTAGACAAGTGTTAACCTGGGTAAAGCTGAAAGCAAGAGAGGGGTTAGGGAAAAAAATGCTAGAAGCAGAGGAAGACACAGAGAGACTTGAAAGAGTTAAAAGCAACAAAGGCAAACACTATTAATACACACAATCCTGCAAGTGATGATCTAGATTTGATGCTTGGATAGACACACAGGCTAAACAAGGTGGAAGAGTTGGAGTATACTCAGAAATACATAAGTCTGACAAAGGATATTTGTATATATCCATTAATGTGGTAAAATATATAGGCGGCTCTCCAAACTCCAAACTCACTGCCATTGAGCCAATTCCAGTGCCTAGCAACCAAAAAAGACAGAGTAAGACTTCTCCTGTTAGTTTCTGAGACTGTAACTCTTCACAGGCATAGACAGCCTCATCTTTCTCCCACGAAGCTACTGGTGGTTTCAAACTGTTGGCCTTGTGTTTTTAGCAACCTAACATGTAACCCACTAAGTCACCAGGGGGCAAAGTTATGAAAACTTCATATACATAACCAAATACTCTGAGAGAATGAGTATCTGAACCTGGGGCTCAGGACCATAATTTCAGGGGACACCAAGGTAAACTGGCATAACGTAGTTCACAAAGACAATGTTCTACATCTTATTTAGTTGAGTAGTGACATGTTTACTGCAGCACTAGTCACATCAAAAAGAAGAAAACCTAAATGTTTATTAATAGACGAATAAACAACTTGTGGTACATAATACAATGAAATACTATGAAGCAATAAAGACTCATAAATCCATGAAATACATTACAATATATAATGACCTGGAAGACATAATCCTTAGTCAATCATAAAAGGACAAATACTGTATAGGCTCCTATTATTAAAAGTCAAAATTAGGCTTATCCAGAAATATCTTAGATGATTCTGAGGGACGGGAGCATAAAAAATGGAGAATCACTAACTATGTAATATACAAGAGTTAATTATCATGAAGACAAAGGCAATAAATAATATAGGGGGAAATCTAGGTGTATCAGCAAAACAATTTATAAAGATAATGCTTTACATCACAGTCTGATGTGTAGTGTTTAGGGTCTTAACTTTTGCATGGAAGAAACAACAATTGGTCTCTCATAGCAAAGGAAAATAAAGAAAACTGAAAACTCACGGAATCAATAAGTCCAAAATATTATGAACCATAGCCTTCTCTAACTTGAAACTAGAAGAACTAAATGTTGGAACGTACACAAAAAAGAATACTACAAAATGTTAAAAACAATGGATCTGCAAAACACTTCATAACATGGATGAATGAACCTGGAGGATATTATGCCCAGTCAAATCAGTGAGTCACAAAAAGTCAAGAAAATAGAAAGAACCTATTGTGCTTTAGGTGAAAGTTTAAATAGAAAATTCATTTTGCAATCAATAATTCACACATATTGATTGAAATCCCACAATGTGTCAACACTCTATTTTCTCTCTGGGTTTCCTATTTCCAGTCATCTAATTTCCCTGTCTCTCCCCGCCTTCTCATCTTTGGTTTTGGGCAAATATTGACATTTTGGTCATGGTTAGTTAATTATTCTAAGCTGAAATTCTTCACAGATATTCTTGTTTATTTTTTTAGGTCTTTGACGAGAGACAGCCTTTCCCACTAAAAGAAATATTCTTTGATGGCAACTATACCTGCCATTGTGGGGACGGTGCAGGTTGAGCAGTGTTTTGTTCTGGTGTACATGGAGTTGTTATGAGTTGGAACCAATGTGCTGGTACCTAACAACATCATCAATAAGGGGATGGAGGGAATGTAGTAAAAATGTGGAACAAACTTCAAATAAAAGTAAAGAGAGGAAAATGGCTAGAACCACTGGCTTGACTGAGACAGTCTTCTAACTGGAAACTCAAGGCACACCCCGAGGCCATCTCTCCAGCAAAGTTTCTTGAACTTAATGTAAAGGTTTTTTTTTTTTTTACTTTTGACTGGTAGTTTCAGTGTCTTGGGACCTTCTAAAAATTCTTGATTAACAAGAGATTTCACCCCTACGCTAGCCTTCTGAGGTCCAACTACACACTCCTACCTCACTGAAGAATTCAGTCTGCCAATACGCAATACTCACCATGGCAGTTCTTGTTGGAGAATTCCTCCTCTAGGAACTTAGGTTCTTCCCCTTGCTCCAATTTGAAGATCATTTCTGGCTTTAAAATGCAGTACCCTATAAAGAGAGACCAAATGATAAGTGAAGTCAGATAAACAAGCTTTTGTTTCTCCAAAAGTAGAAGATACAATTTCAGAAGTAGCACCAGGAAGGTGCTTATTTGCACTCAATATGGACTTGACAACCAAAATTAGAAAATTCTAGTTCGCAAAAGGGTTCAATCTGTTACTTTAGGTTCCTGAATAAAAAGCCTAAAAGCATTAACTAAATAAAATCCTCACATGTACTCACAATTAAAAAGGAAATGTTAAGAAGAAAATTTAAAAAAGAAATATTTTCTATAAAGAGTTACATGGATAAGTTATATTTTTGTGCTCACCCACTGAGACGAGATGGCTGTAATTCTCCAGCATCACATCTCTGTACAGAGTCCTCTGGGCAGGGCCCATGTGCTGCCACTCCTCCTGGGTGAGCTCCACAGCCACGTCCTTGAAGCACACTGATGCCTGTTACAGCACATTTCTATTTAATAGGTGACATTATAAATACTTTTGTAAATGATTCCTTTCTTTTCTGTAAACAAATGATAATAAGGGATGCTCATTTTGGACCTAATTTTACCTTATACTTTAAAAGTACTCAATTAGTAAATATCTACATTAGATTAACTTGATTATGTACATGTACTATCGATATATTAATAAAACTTTTGCTTACTGTTTTAGCAAAAGTTAAAAATACATAGATAAACTTGGTAAAATTATCATCTCAAGCTCCAAAGGACTAACATTGCATAGTCTAGGACAGGTATAAGCGAAGTATCCTGGTGGCAAATCTAGCTTATAAATAAAAATTTTATAAATAAAATTTTATTGTGACACAGCCATGCCCATATCTATGGTTACATTTGCACTAAAGTTACAGAGGTGAGTATCACACAATACGATCCCTCAAAGATACATATACATATTAATTGACCCTTTGCAAAAATTTCTAACACTTGGACTAGGCAATCCAAACAAAAACTATGTAGTTTTACTGCAAATAAACAACTCCTCACAGATAATACATAAATAGTATGTATATTTAAAGTAAACGATGGAAAAAATAATCAAAGAAAGTAACTGTGGCTATATTAATACCAAAAGAGTAGATTTTGGTAGGAAAGGAAAATTATGAAATATAAATAATTCATAGCTCACTAGTCCTTTTTTAAAGTAGGAAAGTTTATTTGCTAAATATAATTTCATAAACTTGAAAAAATCATTGAGATGTGCAAATTAAGCATAGTACATTTACTGGCAATGCATACAATTTTTATAGGGATGCATTAGGACAGATAACAGTGTTTGTAGGCTTTTTATTCAAGTTACCTCACATAAAACATTACTTTAATAATGTTTTATTAAATGAAAATAAAGGACTCAACTCAAGAGAGAAATAAAAATGTCCGAGAAGGGGGTCCAAAAAAATAAAATGTGCTTTCTAATAGATGTGCTGATTTTATTAATATCTGCTTATGTCATATTCCCAATTGATCTCTACAGGAAAAACACAAACAGAAGCTGTTACATTTGCCCTCAAGGCCAAGAGCTTTTTGGAGTCAAAAAACTCGCTGTCATCCAGTTGATTCCAAAGCACAGTGGCCTTATCGGACAGAGTCGAACTGCCTTTGTGGGTATCTCAGACTGTAAATCTTTATGAGAGTAGAAAGCTTCATCTTTCTCCTGTGGAGATGCTGGTGAATTTGAACTGTTGACCTTGTTAGCAGAACAACACATAACCCACTAGACCACCTGGGTTCCTTTAAAAAGCTTTTTAAAGTAATTACAAATTGTTTAGTGGCCTTGAATTCTGTTTATCAGTAGGTGTCTCAAGATTATCAGGCAAGTCCAATTTCAAAACCTCATGCAGCAGAAAGGACCTTAGCCCTGGTTAAGGACAGGCGTTTTCTCACTAGGAGATCTGCCAGGTCTGGAAACCTTTAAATATATACTGGGCTCAAGGAGGAGGGAAGTTAGAGAAATCCAGTCTTTAAATTCTCTCCCCCGCCCACCACCCTCTTTTCACCTCATTCCCAAAGCAAACATGGGTAAGTGAGGTTCTCCCAGGCCAGAAACTGCTCCCAGGGCATACCCCGCTGAAGCAGGATGCTGTCACCAACAGCAGCTGATGGGCAGGTCTGGAAACTGACTCCATGCTTGCCACTCACTATCTGTGAGGCCACCGCCTCCAAACTGGACAAACCGACCAAGGCAAGCAGGCAGTGGCAAACCAACGTGAGATCGCTAAAACACAAGCAGTAGCACAGTTAGCATCATACCTGGGACTTGGCAGATAAGAGTAAGTGAAGTTTCCTAAGAATTGTACAGTTATATGTAAAGTGTGATTTTCTGTGAGTCTGTTACGCAGTAATAATTTCACAGTATGAATATTAGCAGTACAAAATAATCAAAAGTCATGGGCTGCATTATTTATGTTTTGAAAGGGGGGGAGAACTCTTTTCTTATAAATACAAGACAGTCTTTTTTCTATTTATTATTATTATTTGTTCCTCAGGAATACTTAATTTTCTTTCTTGGCAAGAAAAAAACCACAACAACACAAGTAGGAAGTTTTGTTTCTATGTGAATACTGAAGTTTCCTGGGTTGGCAAGAGGTCTAAATTCTATCATACAATGCAAGGCCACAGGGGATGAGGGTGATCAGATGGCCTTCTGGGGCTGAGGTCAAATTTTTGCGGGGCAACCAGTATTCAGGCCTGTGTACTGAAATCGCTGCTGAGAGATTTGGCCCTTTTGAGGGCACACTGTATTCTGTCTGCCAAAATGTTCACACAAGTGATGGTGTTTTTGTCTTGAGTTGTCTTTGGTCTGGCTAGCTAGGATTGAATCCAATAAATTCAGGAATAGGTTCCCTTTAATTCTCTGAGTTCAGTAGCCAGGGCATTTCTAAACAAAGGTTGATTGTCTCCGATTGACTGACAGAGGAGAGGTCATGAAAAACGGAGTGGTTTCCTGAGCTTCTGAATCTCACTACTCAAAGGCAAAGAATTTTGGGGAGTGAGGGTCCAAAGGCATGCCAACACAATAAAGCACAGAATATCTTCTGGAACTTGCATAAGAACAAAGTAGGGTGCAGGTAGTGGGGACTACTGCCTCATTAATGGCCCTGAGGTCTTGGGCAAATCTGCACCTCCATTTGGCTTCTTTACAGGCTGAATGGAAGTGTTATTTAGCGATTGACAGGATTGAAAGAGATGAAAGTTTGGCAGCCACTGTAGAAATGGTTTAATTATTTGTAGCACTTCAGCTGAGGGGCTATTGTTTTATCCAGGGGAAATGTACTCTTGGCTTCAGCCAAACAAATCAAGGAACTTTTAGCTGTTTTCTGTTACTTCAGTACCATAGACCCTAGAGTCAATTTGGGCCTTTATTTTTCTGAAGATGTAAAGTAAATGCAATGTTTCCTATCTGTATCCTACATTGGTCAGCCCACTTCTAAAAATCCCAGTAGCCCCTAGTTTAGTTACAGGTTTCTTCCTAACAAGGGAACAGGGACATAAAGAAAGGAATAGGGTACGAGTTTGGATTCTATCTCACAAGTAAGAGGGGTGATAAACTTTTTTTAATCCCAGGGCAACTATCTATACCAATGCAGTTGTGGTTGAAGAGGCGGCCCGTAGGTTGGCTCAGAAGGCATAGGCAAATTCTATAGTCAATAAAAAGTCAATGTTCCCAGCTGGCATGTCAAAGGCAACCTGAGGCTCAAAGATGTTATGGTAATGTATGTGTTCCCCATTGGAAGCCGCACAGTCCCTGGGCCCAGTCACTCTTCCTTCTAATACTTGACTAGTCTCTTAAAGGTGAGTTTATTCAGAAACGGCTGCTGACCAGTGGCAACCACAAATTGTATGTGGTGATGCTCAGGACATTGCTTCCACCAGCGGCCCTCCAGCTTGCAGTATCTAAATTGATTGGGTTCCAACTTTGCTAGCTGTTAGGATATGCTTCTATGCTGTTGAGGTCTTTTGGGACCCTGGGGGCTATCTCAGAGGTTGTCCTTGGATGGTCTCAGTCAACAATCAGGGCTGCCATTTCATCCCTTTGTTCTTTTTAGCCTCCTCTGCTCTCTCCTGGTTGTTAAAAACCTTATAAGCCTCCTCTACCAAGTAACTGGTCTGAGTCAAATATGCAGAGTATAGCTTTAGCAACTTCCATCTAATATATCTGGAGCAGATAAAGTAAATTTGCCAGTAGGACCTGCCCCCCACCCCATCCCTGGGAGATCCAGAGTTGGTGTCACAGTATTTTCTGAAAGTCTGAAGAAAGCAACTGGATTTTCTTTTCTCTCTTAGATGACTTCTCTGACCTTCAAATAATCTACTGTTTTTTTTAACACACATTGCTAAACCTTCAGAGACACATGCAACAAAATATCTAATCTTAGGTTTATCAACTGTATTTTCATAGCTCCAGTGAGGATCTATTTCAGGGACTGCCACTGCCCAGCCAGCTCCCAACACTCTCGTAGGGGTTTAAGCCAACCAAGATGCCAGTGTGTTCACAGGTCTTGGCCATGATTCTCTTCTCACTTGTTGAACAGCGGTAGTTGAAATTAACCATCACATCAACCCAGGGTAAATCCAAGGTTCACAAACTCATACCCGAATGCAACAAGGTTTTCAGAAAAAAGTCCGACTTTCTTCTTGAATTGGACTAGATATGACAAGGAAAAGGGGACAAGACCCAGCCTGTGCTGTCTCCACCTGCTTGGTTTCAGCTGCAGAGGCTGGCGAGTTGTTCCTGACTTCCATCCCATTGGTAATTGATTGGACTGAGGTGAAGCGGGTCAGGGGCCCTGCTTCCCAGCGCTTTCCTGGAGGTGCCAGATAAGATAACCCGTGAGACCAGATGCTCCGGATCCAAAGAAAGTCGACAAGCAATTCCTGGGAGTGGCAAGACCCCATATGCTAATTGCCATAAATGCTGGACATTCCTCACCACCCCTTTAAAAACCCGTGCCCCCCACCCACTCCCCACTGCTGAGCTTACCCCTAATAAAGCTATTTCTGTTTCTGCTTTCCTTTGTCCTGTCAGTTATGTCCTTGTTCCTCAGTTTACCTTATACTTCGTCTGTCTCCTCGTGCCTCAGTTTTACTTTACAGTAATGGTTTCAAGGCCTGTGATACAGTTGCTGACAAGCACTCCCAGGGAAATGGCAAGGGGGACTATTATGCCTCCCTGAGTCTGGAGTGAGAGCAGTCTGCTTGGGGGTTCAGGATCTCCCGGGCCAACTGATGGTGTGGTGAGATGTTGGGGTGACTGCAGGAAGGGGTCAATCGACAAATCAGGGTTTTGATCCTTTAAAACAAAATGGTTGGATGTTAAGGGCAGTAAGGTCTTGCATTCTGATCTCAATTTAGGGTCATGGTAAAAAACTGTAAAGTCTTCACCATTGTGCCTCTCCTTCCACTTCTGTCTTTTTCTTAGTATGCTATGGTCAT